GATTACCGTATCTATGTACATTTTACACACGTCAGCTACCAATGGCGCAGACAGTGGAACGGAGAGGGGACCGCATAGCCACGCCCTACAGGATTACAGCAGGCGCCGCCGGGTGCCGCCGGGTGCCGCCGTCGCCCGGCGCTTTGATAAACGGTCTGGGTCTGAGGCTTGTCTGTCGAGCTGCCGGGTTGCCGAGCTGCCGGGTTGCTGGGTTGCCGGGTGCTTGATTATCTTATCGGCGGGGCGACGGACAGCCGCGCAGTGGGCGCTCAGTGGGCGCGCGGCGGGCGCGGTGGGCGACGAGCTTTCCGCACTGCAAACATCCTGACTTTTCTCCACAGTGGTTTCAAGAGAAAAAGTCCGACTTTTTTGTAGCGATAAATTTCAAGAAAATATATATAAGCAGGAGATATTTTTTTGTCACGGAAAGGTGAGCTACTGTAGGAGAAAAAATACACAAAAACAGCCAGAGTTTTTTCGGGGGAAAGATTTGATCTATTGTGTCGCCAACAAGTCCCAAAAACAGGGTGAATTTTTATAGCCAATTTTCATAGGGAAAATGCACTCTGTTTTGCAACCAAACATACGACATTTTCTTATTTATTTTTTCAAGCTGTTTTTGCATATTTTATGCGACAAAAAAGTACCAAATTTCTCTCGTGAGTGGTGCAGATATATCTTCTGTATGACATTGCACCCATGAAAGGGTAAATAAAATACCAATAAATAAAGTTCATCATTGACACATCGTAGTGACCTCAAGGGCATACGCGGTGCCACTGGGTGCTGCCAGGTACTCCTGAGCCCCGCGCGTGCACTATGCGAAGAGGGGAGATGAAGTGGCCCATGGAAGTGGGCGTCCTTGCTCCATAGTCATGCCCTGTTTCCTGATTGATTCCATGAGGACAATCTGAGGAATATAAGCGGCGGGTCTCCAGGACGACTAGGTCGACCCACCTGAGTTACTGAATGAGTGTAGGCGCAATCTCAGGAGCTGCGGTCTGAGCTTCCTCCTCGTCAGTGCTCTCCTGGCCCTCTTTCTCCTCCATTCCCCACTGTTCGTCGAGCTGCGTGTGCAGCGGCAGCCCCTTCATCAGCAGTGACGCCAGGGCGCCAATGCCACAAATGCCGATGAAAACTAGCCAGAGTATGCGAATGCTGTCCGCGAATGCGACGCGCACCTGCGTGTGCAGCGGCTCGGGAAGGTCCGGGATGACAGTGATGGCGGTGTACACGATGGCGACGCCATCGGGGAGCATGTCTACGAACTCTGCAGGCAGCCGCTTGGTGAGCTGTGTCTGTAAGACAGCCGTACCGATAGTTGCTCCCCAGACCTACGCATACCCGGGAACCCTCAGTTTTCTATAGCTGACGGAAACGCGGCACTGGAACACTTACGGTGGCGAATGACCGGCAGAACTGGAAGAACGCCATCGCGTGGGCGTTCTCCGTGACAGGGAGCGGGGCGAGCACAGGGAAGTACGTTGCCCCGTACACTAGACCGCTGCCGAAACCGAAGACAATAAGTGCGCCTGTTGCACGTGCGATGTCGGTGTGTTCGTTCAGTGTTGACAGGGCTCCGAGGCCGGCGAGGCAGGCCGCCCATCCGATCCAGTGCTGCACCCGGTACGTCTTCGTTGCTGCTATGCTGACTGCGCCGAGAATGAGGAACGGGCCGACGGTCAGGGAAATCCCGAAGAACAGGACTCCGGAGCGAATGGGCGAGGCACCCCAGCATGCTTGGTAGAACACTGGTATGAAGTCTGTTTCGCGAGGAATAGAAGTCGGAATAGGGACTTGTAACCGGTTAGAAAAGCGTGACTTACAGGTCACCGCAACGGTCAGCACAGGTAGAATGAACGTCTGTACATAGCTGCGCCATCCGTCAGTCCGTGTGCAATAGCGCGAGTCGGTCTACTTACCCACTGAAACTTGTACGGTTGGACACAAGCGAGATGGGAACCTACAGAACACTAAGTCGAAGCCATGCGCGCAACAGTTTCAGACGCACCAGAGGATGCTTTGCAACCCTTGCTTCGTACAGCAAGAATGACAAGAGGCCAAGAACGCCGATAATGAGCGGCGCCAATATCTGTGCAGAACTCCAGGGATGCTGTACACCGCCCCACGTGAGAGCGAGGACTATGGCGGTCGAGCTACCGATTACAAGCGCGTTGCCACTAGGGAATGATGAGTTATGTTGCGCTTGGCAAAGGACGCAGATGCTTACATCCAGTCCATTCGGGCCATCTTCTCACGGAACGAACCTTGCGGGGTCTTGATCTTGAGGAACAGGACGACAAGCACCCCTGCTGCTCCCGCGAGTGGGAGATTGAGGTCTGCAAAATTGGCGTTAGAATGGAGCCTGTAGGCAAAGCATAGCTCAGCGGCGTACAGAAAAGCCATCTCCACTGTCCATTCTCAGCGAGCGCGCCGCTCACTATCGGACCCATCGCCGTAGCGACCGCCCACGTCCTATGTCGCGAGGAACAAGTAACGTGAGCCATCGTGGTCGATGCATAGTGCTGTGCCACTGACTTACAGGCCGATGAACCCATTGTACAGCGCGCGCTCGGCCAGTGGAACAAGATCGGAGATGATTATTGCGGATATCGCGAGGATGCTGCCGCCGCCTGCACCTTGGATCGCTACGGGTAGGTGAGAGAACGTTAGAGAACGCCATCGGACGGACGGCTGGCGCTTTGACTTACTGCGGGCGGCAATCAGCCAGTTCATGGTCTTGGCGGCCCCGCACAGCGCACTCCCGAGGGTGAATAAGGCCAGCGACAAGAGCATGCAAGGTCGCCGGCCGAATATCTGGGAGACTATCAGACAAGATAGCCTGCAAGCACACGTGGGCGTACCTGAGCCATGCCACCGCTCGCGGGCAGCAGCGCGGTCGCAGCTAGAGCGTAGGCTGATGCCACCCAGACGAAATCCTCGCCGTTCAGGTCATGCACGATGGTCGGCAATGCGGTGGATACGGCGGTCTGTGATAGGGTGTTAGCTGAGCTCCTGGAGAGGGCTGCATCTGCCACTCACGAACTCGAACGCAGACAGGAAGAGCGAGACGCAGATGGCCAGAAATACGAGCCAGAATCGAATGCCCTTCGACCTCATCCCAGACGGCTGGACTGGAGCCTCCTCGTGCTCCTCGGCGTCGGCATTGGTGAGCACGACTAGTCCTGTGCTTGAAGTACCGATCTGCTGCCGGATGTCGGTGGACATAGCGTAGTAACCTGCGATGAACCGGTATCCTCGAAAGCGAATGGTAAACCTCCACGGTTGAGCTAACCCTCCTACAAGGCTCCGGTATATCAAGGTCCCTCCTACTCGAACGGGTACGCAGCTCCCTGATCGTAATGTCTCCGCGTTGCATATCGCAAGGCATTTCACGGGACTAATTTGGAGGTTTTAACGATGCAAAAACGCGTCGCAGGAAATATATACAAAATGTGCCTGTTTCGCATCGCTTTTTTCCGATCAAAACATCAAGTTCGTGGCGAACGTCCTTATATTCTTGTGCCTGTTTTGGTGTGCAACAGGTAACATTTCTGTATATATTTTCTGGGCACGTTTCTTTTGCGCCGAAAGTTTCCAAATTAGCTCCATTTTTCTTCAAGTTTCAGGCTTCAGAGCATTATACAGCCGAATACGGTAAATTTGTACAGATCAAACATTAGACACGATCTCGGCTGTGAGTTTCGTAGCGTCGACTTCGCACAACAACGCCGATTCCTCTTCACCGGCACCGCCAGCCAGCGCTTCGAGAATGTAATGCGTTGGGTGCCTCCCCGACCTGCGATACCCTTTCCTCTGGATTTTTCCCTCGGCGCCGTGTATATTATTTGCAGGACAGTTAGCTCATTACGCACTGTCTGGCCTTCATTTTCCCCGTCACCGATAGCTCTAAGTCCGTGCATTAGGTCTCGAAACATGGTCGTGCGCGAGCTTGCACCGCCCACTGGCGACCGCTAACCTCCGGTCAGCTGAGCGCGGCACACAATGTAGCAGAGATAGTGTATCAAAACAATGGCGTTAAGGCGGTGTCTGTAGTTTCCATATGGCGTCGATTCCAGGGCGAATTGCACAGGGAGTCCGTACAATCAGCTCGATGCCCGTCCAATGAGCATTTTCACAGCGTCGGTCGACACCTGCTAAAGGGGGCCTATACAACGCCGATATACTCTTGCGTGAGCAAGCCTTGATTACCCAGCGACTCGTGATAAAATTCCCAGCTTGCAAACCCCCTGTGCTACCCTCACCGGGACGGCTAGCAAGTTTCGCAACTCGACCCGGTGACTGGGCTAGACGTGATGAAAGCAGGCCAAGCGATGATTTTGCCTAGGGCATCCAAGAGTAGCAGTATAACCCGAGCGTACCAAGTACACTCACAGTTCTGGTGGAAAACCGCCCGGTCTTGTCGTCGCCGGTCGGGAGAAAATCTGCGGCGAATCAGCGATCCGGTGTTTCAACTCTCGCCATGCGCTGTCGCCACACACAATGTACTCCGCCACGCAGTGCAAAGATCCCTGAGACCCTGTGCGAAATCAGCGATCGAGGTACAAAAACAAACCTATCCCCAATGGACAACCGTACTCGCCGCATCATTGTTGCGGTGAGAGCTAGCGAGCATGCGACCAGAGGAGCGATCTGCACTGCCTTGCATGTGGTTACCATGGCCGGGTCACTGGAAACACGTGGCAATAAACCAAAGGATGACGTTTTGCGATGTGTGGCTCTCGACCTGAGACTCAAGAGTCGCTCGAGATCATACCACCATCACCGAAACACGAATTTCGCGCCTGCCTCGGGGTGTCTGTGAGGGCAGTCTAGAATTATTGCTTATAGGAGTCAGTGCGATGCTTACTGCCCCACTAAACTTGCGGTCGTCCGCGGACTCCGCGCTGAAGCAGCTCGATTTCGCCCCCTCATGCGAGATCGGGAAACCAGCGCACCACATCTCGGAGAGCCTGCCCGACGTCTCGACGGCGTACATCCAAGGCGTGCTCAATTCTACATGGATGGGATGGGATGGGATGGTTTCGAGCCAGCACATGGTGGCTGTGGCTTTCCCGTTGATGGCATAGATTAGCCGTGAGACATGAATCAGAAATAGATCTGTTCCTAACCCGCCATCCCGCCCTCGAGTCCCGCCTGCTTCCAAAACAAGTAAGTCTATTTGTACGAAACAAATAGGGACCGTTCACAATGACTGTGAGGTAGAGGGGATAGTTCGCGCAACGCACTGTCCAGTATGCAATGGAGAGAGAGGAATCGGGACAATATCACAGAGTGGTGCCTGGAAGAGGTTCCATAATGCCGACATATGCCTATAGACCATGACAGGCTGCGGGCACCGCGACAAGCACATCGCGCGAAGGGCTCGTGACGACAGCAGTGATTTCAAGAACCTCGAGTGTTGACCCCAATAACATTCAAGCCTTCATACGAAATCATGTAACTCTTCAGCTCACTTGCTAATAAGT